TTCCGTAATCCCCTCCTATCCTATTGGAAGTGGTCACCCATCACCAGCGATGGGACATCCCTCCTCCTCCTCCTCTCTGGGACCCTGGCATTGATGGTGTTCAGTGATCCTCCTAACAACCCAATTCCCTCCAAATGAACGATAATGAGAAGATGAACTAAATCTATCTATCTATCTATCTATCTATCTATCTATCTGTCTGTCTGTCTGTCTGTCTGTCTGTCTATCTATCTCTGTCTGTCTGTCTGTCTGTCTATCTATCTATCTCTGTCTGTCTGTCTGTCTGTCTATCTATCTATCTCTGTCTGTCTGTCTGTCTGTCTATCTATCTATCTCTGTCTGTCTGTCTGTCTGTCTATCTATCTATCTCTGTCTGTCTGTCTGTCTGTCTATCTATCTATCTCTGTCTGTCTGTCTGTCTGTCTATCTATCTATCTCTGTCTGTCTGTCTGTCTGTCTATCTATCTATCTCTGTCTGTCTGTCTGTCTGTCTATCTATCTATCTCTGTCTGTCTGTCTGTCTGTCTATCTATCTATCTCTGTCTGTCTGTCTGTCTGTCTATCTATCTATCTCTGTCTGTCTGTCTGTCTGTCTATCTATCTATCTCTGTCTGTCTGTCTGTCTGTCTATCTATCTATCTCTGTCTGTCTGTCTGTCTGTCTATCTATCTATCTCTGTCTGTCTGTCTGTCTGTCTATCTATCTATCTCTGTCTGTCTGTCTGTCTGTCTATCTATCTATCTCTGTCTGTCTGTCTGTCTGTCTATCTATCTATCTCTGTCTGTCTGTCTGTCTGTCTATCTATCTATCTCTGTCTGTCTGTCTGTCTGTCTATCTATCTATCTCTGTCTGTCTGTCTGTCTGTCTATCTATCTATCTCTGTCTGTCTGTCTGTCTGTCTATCTATCTATCTCTGTCTGTCTGTCTGTCTGTCTATCTATCTATCTCTGTCTGTCTGTCTGTCTGTCTATCTATCTATCTCTGTCTGTCTGTCTGTCTGTCTATCTATCTATCTCTGTCTGTCTGTCTGTCTGTCTATCTATCTATCTCTGTCTGTCTGTCTGTCTGTCTATCTATCTATCTCTGTCTGTCTGTCTGTCTGTCTATCTATCTATCTCTGTCTGTCTGTCTGTCTGTCTATCTATCTATCTCTGTCTGTCTGTCTGTCTGTCTATCTATCTATCTCTGTCTGTCTGTCTGTCTGTCTATCTATCTATCTATCTCTGTCTGTTTGTCTGTCTGTCTGACTGATTATTGATTCAGTTCTGGAAAATTGTCAAACGTGTCTATAACAATTACAACTGTCCAACGCTATTCATAAAAAAACTTGTTTATTTACATAAGTAATTAGCTTAAAATTAGATTAAAAGTGACTATTCAAGGTCATAACTGTGTCTGTTAAAATGTCTTGTTTGCATGATCTTCCATAGAGCATTCATCTTTATATATAGTCCATGGTATCCTCCGTACAGTAAGTTGCCTTATGTTATGTTTGAGACATCAATAAAGCCACAAGAAAAAAAGGCAGCCAAACCATCCGCAATGTGCCAGAAAGTCACATAAGGCCAGTGTTTACCATAACGAGTAAATATGAGATAAAATGTGGTAAATGAATGAAATAAATAAATCAGAGGATCACCAGGCTGTTTCCAGGCAACGGTTGTGAGGTGCAGAGATTCATGGCCACTGGAGGGCCCTTATAACCACTGTTTTTAGAAGAACTATCCTGTATCTCTCCAGTGTCTCGGAATTATGAGCATTAGGATCTCTAAGAACTATTGTTCCTGAATGATTTTTTGTTTTTCTGAAGGCATGAATGCATGGGACTAAGCATTCAACTATGCCTATTCATTGATGTTTTCTGAAATATAAACATAATGCAGTCTCTTATGAATGATGCTCTTGTAGTTCAAATGCTTGTCAGTTTGCCAACCCTGCAGAGCATTGCTACCCAATTTAATTAGGACATGTGCCATTACACCAATTTTAAGAGATCAATATTTGAAGTAATATGTCATTTTGGGTATATTTTTCTCATCTTTCATAATCAAAAGCATGAATATGGTACAAGACTTTTTAAAATCTGCTTTAGGACACCTCTGAAGACCAGGTTTCCTGCTCTTTAATGATCATCATTCAGTCTGGCCACTTTGATTGCGCATAAAAATAGAGCAGAACTCCCCAGGGAAGGTCATTACCGAGTGGCACCGCTGCCGTTAGGGCCACTGTCTGTGGACCAATCATTTATTTATTTGAATCCGAGCATGAGAGAAGCGCTCAAAGAAAGACACGGCTCAGCAGGACGGCTCTGTTTTCCTGTCTTCAGGCAGGTTGTTTGTGATAGTTTGTCATTTCATCCCTTCATCATTAAAGTATAGAATGTTTAAAACTTTAGCCATTTCCTTGCAATACATTATGCCTGGGATTTAGTATCCTATTTAGTGCCTAGTATAGAGAAGTCTAGCTACTTTAATGTTTGTCTAATATGATCTACTTTTAAAAGTAATATGTATGTAAAATGTAAATGTAAAGTATGCACTGGTTACTTTTTTATGCAGCTCTATGCAGGGATTGAACTTTCAAGATTAAAAAAGGATGCAAAAGCATAATAAAATGATTATAAAAATAGTTTAAAAAAATGTCTAATACTGGTTTAAATAATTACAGAATGAATATAGTTTATTTTTCTAACTCATTTGTATTATTATGCAAAGGCAGGTCGAATTGTAAAAAAAAAAAATTCAAGTGGGATGGTGGGGCGAGGGTTCCTTTGATCACAAATGATTACAAAATTTGTAAACATTTTTATTTAACAGGTTTATTTTATATTGAACTATGGTTTATGAGCCGTTTTCCTTGTGTAGGCGGAAAAATGTGAAAATTTTATTTTATTTTTATTTTTTTGGGGACATTAGTTCCTCACAATACAGGTTAAACCAATGCACAAACACGCATGCATGCACACAATCTCTGTCTTATTTAGGGATGTATGCTATTGACAAAATTTATATAATATTTTTGGGGCAGATTTTTGTCAATAACGATAATTAAACAATATTTTGCTGAGTGTGTTTTTGTGCTGGTTTAGGCTTGTCATTGATAAATAAATATGACACTAAAACCGCCAGTAGGTGGCGGCAAGTGTCTGTTGTAATGAATGATTCATTAATTCCATCAATCAACCGATTCGTTCAAAATGGCTGATTCAATTAGAATCGAAGCTAGTGACTGTCTTTATGAATGGATCATTGAATAATTGGCTCACTTGATTTGTTCAAAAACAGATTCATTCAGGAAAGAAACACCAATGCATACACACACACACACACACACACACACACACAGGTTTGTTTCTATGGTTTATGGGGACTCTCCATAGGCGTAATATTTTTTATATTGTACAAACCGTATTTTCTATTGCCCTACACCAACCCTACCCCTAAACCTACCCCTCACATGAAACTTTCTGCATTTTTAGATTTTCAAAAAAACTCATTCTGAATTATTTATAAGCCTTTTGAATTACGGGGACACTGAGAATGTCCTCATAAATCACCTTCTCATTGTAATACCTATGTCATACCCATGTTATTATACAAATTTGTGTCCTCATAAACCACATAAACATGCACACACACACACAGATGCATGCACACAATCTCTGTGTCTGTGTGAGTGCTGCTCCGAGACGCACAACAGCTCTGCTCCGGCTTTGTTTGGAACTATTTAATTGTTTAATTCACAAACAGTAAAAAAGACAAAATGTGTCTAAAATGTAACTCATACCAACTCACAAAACTAATGAATGCATAGCTGATAGAAAAAGCTGGATGACTAGTGATTTCCTAAGGGCCTTATTTAAATGAGAATATATAGAGAACATGAATGAAGTTTATTTTAAAACAAGAAAAATCGTATTTGTTTTATTTGCCAAAATTTGGCAAGTATATCCATTCATTGCCCAAATATAATCCAAATTATTTTCAAAAAAAATTTATGAAGATATAAAGGAGACCATTTACTAAATTTTTCAGATTATGAAGATCAAGACGTCTCTGACCAGACCTCCAGATAAATAAATAAACATCTGAGATGTTCAGGGTGATCACTTGACTTTTTTATTTATTATTAATTTGTCAATGTCATTAGGATATGTCCCCAAAACTTTCAAACTGGCTGTTATTAAGCCTCTCATTAGAAAAACCACAACTTGATCCTAGAGAATTAGTTATTTACAGACTGGTCTCAAATCTCCATTTTCTGTCAAAAATACTAGAAAAGGCAGTATCTTCTCAGCTATGTTCCAGTCAGGATTTAGAGCAGGGGTCTTCAACTAAAATTGTTTGAGGTCCACGAATGAACCCTCCTCACCACCCGAGTTCGGAAAATTATTTAAAAAAAACATGAATTGATGGTTTTTGCCAGGGTATCTGCAGGATATTCAAGCTCAAATGTAAGACTTTTTAAGACCTGCACAAATAAAATGAAAATGACAGTA